AATCCTATTTCGAACTGTCAGGTCGGATGTTTCCATGCTGTCTTTAATGGCTTGAGTCTTTGTCTCCTGCAGAATCTGTAGGTCAGGATCAGTCCGAGTCTCAGACCAGATCCAGTCTTTAAGTGTCACAATGCTTTGAATGGAGGAGCCTCTTTAAGTTCTTCTCTCCTTTATATGGGAATGTTCTGAACTTTCTAAAGTTTTTTTTCTCCTTCTTATTAAAGCAGAGTCTTTTGCGCGTTCATCACTGACTCATGTTGTTATTTTTTCCCAGGTGAATAAAGAGACGTCTGCCTTGGCTCTGTCTGGACTTCCTGTCTGTCAGCTCTTGACTCGTCCTGTCTCGGCTTTTAGAATGTTCTGTTAAGCACTTTGATTTCCTGAGTAAGAATCATGTTATCAATCACCCGTATTGATCTGTATTGACAGGAGCAGCCACAGAGGATTCCTGAGTTCCAGTAGACAATAATCAATCACTACTTAAAAAAACAAACAAACATAAACACAGTTTTAAACCCAAACACTTCAGGGTCATTTTAAATTAAATCCATCTGGTAAAAAAAAATCTTAATTTATCCGTTTATTCTAACTTTCTGAATGAGAACTCAAAACAGAAAGACCAGCAGTTAGAGCCAGGAGATGAACCAAAGATGTTTTTGCTGTAAGTAAAAATGCATTTAAAAAAACTTTCTGGTAGTAATGCATATTAATGCATTTAAAAAAACTTTCTGGTAGTTAGCAGAGGAGCCTTTGTGTGCAGCATGTCCTGGGATAAAGCTCTGTTTCTCCTTTGCCTCCAGAAAAGACAGGGAAGTTGTGTCATTCTGCTGTTTTACATGGGGATCGTGAGGTGTAGATCATTTTATAATGTGGAATTTGACCTGGGGAAATGATCATCCAACCTGTTTTTGAGTGTCAGGGTAGAACAGGGGAGAACACGTTAGTCTGTGTTACTGTCTCCTCACTGAGGAGGAGGAGGAGATGCTGTTTATTCAAACTGACACCTGCCAGCTCATTCTCCTCCTATTCATCTTCCTCCTCTGTTTTTGTCTGGAAAATATTTTTTTAATTGCTGCTGCTAAAAAAGTGTTAAAACTTTCGATAAACGGCAGGCCAGGGGTGGAGTCATGGGGGGGGGGTCTCATTTTAAACTACATATGGAGCAATGGTGACACGTTGTGGTCGAATAGTGCTACTCTCCTGACAGTACTAATTAATTGAACTCATATTTGTTTTTGTTGAATAAATCAGGTAAGTCTAAAGAAGTAGTAGTAGTCATTATCGTCTTGATTACTATCATCATCCACACCATGACCACCATTATCATCACCATCATCACTTTCTTCAACAGTATCCATGTCATCATCATCATAAACATGGACAAGCAGCAGCAGCAGTGAGTCTGAACAAAGTGTTTTGTTTTGTTTTTACCTCTGATTTACTCTCAGAGGTTAAAACAGTCGTGGGTTGACCTTCTAACAAGGACTGGTCAATAATCTTCATTGATTTATCCAATTAGTAAGTAATTAGTACTAATTTGATTTGCCTGTTTATCAGAATGATTTCCTGTGACGCAGTCCCTCTGTGTTCAGTGTTTCCCTTGTTCAGATCTTTCAACTGCATTTTGATGGTTTCACTGATTGTTTCTTCTACTGGCAAGATTTTATTTAAATTATTTAATCATTTTTGGCTGACTGCCATTGTGGCCGTAGGAGATTATTATGATTTATATTTTGTTTTTGTTTTTTTAAATAATTGACTAAATTTGGTTCAGTGTGTAATTTGGATAAAATTCTGCCTAATGTTTAATTTTTGGTTGTGCCATTTAACTTTCATCTTCACATTTTTCAATTAACATTTGACTCATGTCTCCTTTTGAACGAACCTTTGGTCAATTTGAGCTCAGTTTTTAGATAAAACCAAGCAAAAAACGGCCAGAGGACTGACGATACTGACAAAGTATTCAGCGTCACTGATCCAAACTTTTCGTTAGATAATAATCCATACTGATTTTCTTAGGAGTCATTATAACTTCAGTTAATAGAAACCAATCACACCCACATGCACATGTGCCGCTATACCTGAGCAGCAGACCTGTGGTCACCTACTGAAGCGCTAACCAGCAGCTCCTTCATTAACCTCCATCCTGCACTGATTATTCTCTGAAGGCCTAATTATTACACACTCAGTTAGAGCAGTCACATGTTTAAAAACAGGCTGAGAAAGAAAGGTTTAGGGGCTCAAAACTCAGAAGTGATGTGAAAATAATTAGTTAATGTGGTTTTGGTATAATTAAAAAAAAGTGCAGTTGACATTCAAAGGTCAAAATGATTAGCTACCAATCACAGACTGTTTCCACAGACAGCAGTGGTTTGGTGTAGTTTTGACATGAGGACAGTGTTCTGTGGGTTCACTTCAGCAGAAGCTGAACTTTTTCATAGTTCTAAGATTTCAACTCCATCTTTTCTTCTCAACAGGGTGGATTTTCTTCAACTACTTGAATTTTTTTATTTTTTATTTTTAAATTTCTTATCACCCTAGAAACGTGAGAATACACAACGTAAGCCAAATCTGTTTCAGTGAAAACTAGATAACCCCCACTCGGTTTTCAGTTTATAAATGTGTGTGTAGATTATATTTCTGATGTTTAACAACAGTTTAAAAAAACCCCAAATGCTAACATATTTCTTCTAACAGTTTAACCAAAGTTTCAGTTTCTGGTTCAGAAAAAGGTCAGACACTCCGTGGGTTTAACCAAAGTTTCAGTTTCTGCAGGTTCAGAAAAAGGTCAGACACTCCGTGGTGCTGGTCTCACACAGTCCGCACTGACACCTCAGAGCCTCAGGGTAGGTGTAGCTGGGGTCCACGTGGTTCCTGCAGTTTGGCAGTTTGACCGTGATCAGTCGAGACTCGTTGTAGGTACAGACTCTATGATGAGACTCAATGTACGGAGGATCAACCAGAGGTTTCTGTTTAACAAACGACAAAATCACTCACATGACTAGATTCATTGTCTGCTTTCTACACCTGCTTGTTCTCTTCTCACCTCCCAAGTCTCGCAGCGCCCCCAGCAGGCGTCAGTGGTGATGTACAGACCTTTGCAGCCTGTTTTTTTGGCTATGAAAGTGAATTCCCTGACTGCACAGCCAGTGAAGCGTCGCAGGTTCACTGATGACACTGACAGGCAGAAACAGAGCAGGAAGCAACAGGGCAGCAGGAAACGCCCCCTACAGTAGAGATGAGGAAAGATCCAAACCGTGAAGTCATTTTTGCTCGAAGAACAGTACATAACAGTAAAAGTTTTTCAGCTGTGCATTAAATAGACTTAGAGTGTTTCATAAATCACCTTTTATAAATACAGTGACGTTATTTAAAAATTAACGATTAAATAACTAATGATAAAATAAACAATCAGGGTATTTTCATGCTTTCATAAAATCACTATGTTTTTTAAACAATTGAACACCACTGATGACTACTGGTCTCTGAGACAGGGGAGCCTCACCTCAGGTGCAGCTAATTAAATATTAACGTGGCACTGAGTTCATTTTGTAAAGAAAACATATAGAAATATCTGAGTCCCTATCAGTGCTTGGCCGTAGTTGCAGGTTTATTTTAAAATAAGAACCTGGTCTCCAGACCTCAATCACAAACTCCACATAGCACTGACACAGGAAATGATCTACTACATTTTCCCAAGGCCCATACAGAAGTATTTCTGCTTCTTCAACATTTTGTCCAGTCGTCATGCAGAAGAACAGCTTCGACACCCACCCACTGGTCCACTGACTACTGATAAAGTTTGGCTTTCGTAGAATTAATATTTTTGCCAGTCCGTGTCTACGCCCCACAGTAGAAATAGTTGCTTTATTGAAGTCCATTGAAGCTGAGCCTCAACATGGTTTTATACGCCCCACTGCTGCAGGAAGGAAATCTCATCAGACTGTGGTCTGTGACAAAGTTTTTGTTTAAATCCACTCACCATAAGTTGTTCCTCTGCATCATCGTCATCTTCATCACCAGCTGTTACTAACCCACAGCTGCCGAGGTTGATGCTGTTTGTTGCAGTGAAACAAACAGAACTTCACGTCAGGAAACAGCAGCTTCTCTCACTCTGTCCTCAGCTATGAACGTCTTCTGTTCATAGTTGCTTTCAACTTGATCCAGTGTCTTTATTTTAATTCCAGCACTTCCTGAGTCAACCCCTGCGGCCCACCTCCTCCACCTTTCCATTCATCCTTCTTGTCTTTCTTTAGCTCCCAGCTTCTTTCTGCTCCATTAGTCTGATTAGGAAAAAGGGATTTTTTTTTACGTGAAGAAAGAGCAGGATCTAACCTGGGTCCACTGTTTTCACATGTCCACTGTCATTACTGTCATTTAATGACTTCACCTTCTCCTGTTTCAGCTTCGCTCACTCTCATTATTTTCACTATTTAAACTGATTTTAACTCTCCTACAAAATGTCTGCCGTTGTAGGAAACATGACCTTTGGTAGAGAAAACTGAAGAAGAAAAAAAGGAAAGAAAAGCTACAGGGAAGAAAACGAAAAACACCTGATACTATTTACTTTTTGAGAATCTGTTAAAAAAAAAAAGAAAAAAAAAAAAGAAAACCAGCCAGGAACTTTTGAAGCTTTTTATCTGTCCTTCGCGTTTGTTATGTGTTTGATGTGGTATCATCTCAGAGAGTTTACGGGTGGCTACAGCGCATGAAATAGAGCAGTACCACTAGAAAACGTTGGGGCGGTGTTGCGCAGTATCGTTCAATGAACAACAAAAATACATCGACAAAACAGTAAATAAAGAGCGGAACTAGGGAGAAGAATTCTCCGTCCACGTACTGCTCTGTACTTAGTGTCCTAACAGACCACCACCGCTGCTCTTTGTCTCTGTTAGGGAACACTATCACCACCTCATCGATGTCAACTTGTTTGTTATTGTCTGATAGATTAACGTCTGCCCGGAAAATCAACGCCAAACTTTGCACTGCCCCCTAGTGGATGTATTGCCTCACAACCAAGCCGAGCGACACGCAAGTGGTGTTGATGGTGAAGTTTGATACTTACGTAACTAACAAAGGTAGGAGGATAAAATAAGCGTGGAGTTTTTTATTTGTTGTGGAATTTCTGAATTTAAAATGAATTTTCTATAACATATTTATAATTCCCAGGGCGTAAAACCCTTAGTCTCGTTAAAGCTGAACTGTTTGACCTTGATGCTATCAGGATATAAATTCATGCGTTTCATATTCATGTGGTTTGTTGTGCGGCCCTGACTTAGAAATGACATCATTTATTATTCAACACCACACTGGTTCATTTAAACTCCACTGACCTTATTTCTGCTGATTCTGGCAAGTTTTTTTTCTCCCTTAATTTCAAGTAGAAAGTTTGTACTTTTAAAAAGCATGGGGGAGAATAAATGATTATTGTGAACATAATTAGATAGATAATATTAATTTAAAAAGCAAGATTATTTGGATCTGTCGCTGCATACAATTATTATCACAAACGTCAGTACTTTTGCTTTTCAGTGATACATTAAAATGTCAGTATCAGGTGCTTCAGCAAAATAATTCTGTTTTGAATAGTTTATTATTGACATACAGTATTTGTTCATGTTTTTTTCCAATCGGTTCATGATGTAAACTGAAGAAGACGATCCTAGAGTGTGTGAGTGAAATAAAGACAAAATCTGAGAATGGCTAAAATATAACACAAAAAAGAATTGTGTAATGTATAAAGACTGGAGTTATATAAGTGATGAAAACAGAATCTCTGCGGAAAATGTCACAAAACAATGTTTTAAAAAGCAGCAGACAGTGTCTGTGTCCAACAGGAGGAAGCAGCACAAGTTAATTCTGAAAATCTGGGCTCAGCATGTTCTCCATCTCTTCACAGAGTCTGACATTCAGCTCACTTTACTTTACTTTTTTTTTCTTTTACTTTTTCTTTTTCTTTTTTTACTTTTTTTGCACTGTAGCACTTTCAGGACTTCCTGTTCACATTTTCTTCACAGGGTTTTATTCATAAACTAAGGCCAAAACTGCAAAAAGACACAAAAAGGTTTTAAAACATAGTTTAAAAAAACCCCAAACAAAAAATAAACAAAAAACTAACTAACAACAAAACAAAAAAGAGTTGTTGTAGAGAATAGATCATCAGGGTGAAAATGTTGTTATGGTTTGGACATGAACTGAAAAGAGATACTGCAGAAGAAAAGGTAGGAAGTTAGAGGGTTAAAAGAAGAGAAGAAGAAGAAGAAAAAAGAAAGGGAAAAGTGAATACATGGAAAGAAAAGGGTAGTGAGAGAAAGTAATGAGATGGAAGAGAAGATAAGAGCCGGAAGAATAGAGAAGTTGAAATAAGACATGGATGGTAGAAGAGGTAGAAAATTAGGTGATAGGAAAAATAGGTAACCAAAATAATGTGGGGTCAAAATAGAAAAAAAATAGGAAAGGAAGAGGACTAAAAGAAGAAAAAGGAAGAATGCAGACTAGAATATACTGAAACTGTACGTGTCATAGATAGACTTGGTTTAAAAACTAGTGTTATACTGACCCCTGTTGTTCATTTTAGGGCATTGATTGTTGGTCAATCAATTGTTGGTTAATACAGCTGCTGCTTTTTTGTCTGAAGATAAAAACGTACGATATACAAGGATTTTACTTAACACGTACCGTCGTTTTGTCGTAGTTACTGTGAGTAAAGTCAAATTTACACGTGCGTGGTTGCGTTTGAAGCAAAAGGATAAAAACAAACGTAGGTAAGAGTTTTATCAAATTACCATGATAATATCACACGATACACGGGAAATAAATCAAACGTATTTTAAAAACTATATAAACTAATAAAAATATTTTCAGAAGACATTTGTTGAAAACATTCAGAAACTTTCTTTCTTTTTCTTTCTCATAAAATATAATAGTAATTGCCAATAGTTCATTAGCTTAGTTTAGTCAAGTCATTCTTCATGAACAGGAACATTAGCATTTCAGCACGCTTCTTGCTAATGTGAATCTATGCTTTTAACAACTAACGCCCTGACCATTTAACTGAACTAACTGAAACTACTGTTCACGGTTTTATTTCGTTTAGTCACTTTTCAATTACAGCTACTGTTTTATTATCTCAGGCTAATGTTGGACATTTACACGGCCGTCCTCTTAGGTAAGTATTTGTTACCCACTAGTCAAAAAACAAAGGTTTTATCTTGATTTTTATTTCCATTAATATTATAGAGTATACTGTATAACCTACCTTGGGACACTTTTTTGTCCAGATGCTAATGTGCTAATTTTCATCTGTCGTGAAGTTGAAATATTAAATGTTTTTAATCCTAGTTGTAGTTTTTTATTTGAAGGTGTAGTTTGTAGTCATTTTCATCTAACCTCATCAGTTTAGTCCATCTAATCACTCTGAATTAGCCAGAATCTATTTTCCAAATTAACAACAAGTACTGATGGTGTAAAACAACTTTAAATACTGGTTTATAGTATTTTATACTGAGTTTTCTGTGACCAGTGAGATGACATTAACCTCAAGGTTACAAGCTTTTGTAGAGCTTCAGGTGACAGCAGGGTCCTGGCAGAGCCACACTGGTGTGTGTGTGTGTGTGTACTGGTTTCTTGAACTAGTGTTTCAGTGTGTTCTTTTTTCTCCCAGCTCTGGTATGGCTCTGTCTTCTCCGGTGTCAGTCCCGGCCTGTTGCTGTTCCTGCAGCTCTGCACACTGCAGTTCTGTGGATGTGAGCTTCAGGTTTCAACACCACCACTAAGTCTACTTACTACAGAGCAGGATCTGCTCTTCCCCGTTCCAGATCTGCTGCTGCAGAGGAGGAGAGGACCGTCGCCTTTCCACCTTCAACCACGTCAACACACTTCCCTGCATGTCCAGTAGGTGAGTGGAAGCTCTTCTAATTTGGTCTGTTTTCATATACAGGAAACCAGGGTTTACAGCTGTAAAAAATGTCATATGAGCAGCGTTGAGTTCTAGTGAGGAATCCCCTCATGTCATCAGCGATGTACCTTTAGTGGTATCATTGCCACCAAGCCTGTTATCAGCATTATTAAAAAAGTCCTCTGGTCTTTCCTGAAGGACCCGTGCTGGGTCTCTGCTGAACTGACCTGAGAGCAGCTGAACACATGTGTTCTGTGCTGCTAATTTTGGAACCTGACGGCTTCATAACAGCCACAATCTGACATTCTGCTCGGTCACTTTGTAGCAGCGATGGAGTCCAGGAATGGGTCAAACTTTAACACAGCAATAAAAGTTGTTGATGTCGATGCCCTTCCTGTTTCACGTGTAGTTTATTTCTGCTTTAGAGGTCGAATTAGGAGTTGCACCTGACTGTGAGAATGCCAAGATGGACACGCTGACTTTCTGAAGCTCAAAGCAGTTTGTTTTACAACTTGGAAAAGGTTTTCAGTTTTTTTCCAAAACCAATGAGCAAAATCTTAAGTCATCAATCACGTTAACACAAATGTTTAATGTGACTTTTTTTGAACTCTTCTACCTTATAATTAGGTTGATATTGTATGTTTAGGATGGATTTTAAAAATGGTAATAAAAGGACTTCACTAGTCAGTCTAGTGGTGGTCAAGAGGTCTGCTTTGCTCTGAACTGCACATTATTTGCAGGTTTTTTTGTATTGGTTGTCCTACAAATTAAGATGGTATCCATCATTTTGATGTGTTTAAATTCCTGAAACAAGGAAAGTTTGACATCACAACAACAATTTGTGTTATGTCACTTACTGTTCATCCAATGGTTGTGGGGAAATTACTGAGGCTGTCCCACCTAGTGCCATTCAACCTCCATCGATCAATATGACAGGTTACAGGTCATGTGATTAAAACTCCTGTTGATGTTGTTTTAAATGTTTTAAATGTATGATTTTATTCTTATTTTAAAGTTGAAAAATAAGCAGTAGTTTCTTTCTGGAGCTTTCAGGTAAATGTGCATGTGTAGAATCACGTTCAGTCTTAACAACACTGATCTGAACTCTTGGAAAATAATCTCTGCACCTGATTATTATTCAGGTTAGAGGTGTTCAGGAAAAACTGGATGTTACTGTAACCAACGCCTGTGAGCAACGACCTGATTTACACTGTCACCTTATATCTAATGACCTACAACAAAAATAATAATAGTGCAGCGCAAAATCTCAGAATTCCTGACCTTGTTAGTTTTATTGTCTGTACAAAGTCCAGACTCTCAGGAACTACAGCTTTTTTCTGTAAGGGTCACAAAGGTTGTTTGGGTGGTGTTGAAGCTAACACACTGAGAGTCTTGTGTTTGACTAAATGTTTATCTGTCATTGTGTTTTCACTCCGATCAAAACAGGGTTTGCTCTCTCCTGTTTTTATATTATGTTCCAGGGTGTGACCTTGAACATGTCACAGTCTCATCAGCACATGACTGACTGTACACACATAACACAACACAACACAACACAAAGACTGGATTTAAATTATTTTCACTGTTAATCACAGACAAAACTTGAAGGCCATGTTGTTGCTACTGCAGAACAAGTGAATGTGAAGATGAACAGAGAGACAGAGCAGATGTGTTTACATCCCTCGTGTGCTTCAGTGATGTCCAGGATAATTTTGAAAGTGTTGCTACGTTTTGCTAGGTTATTTTTATTGCAAAAGAAAACTCAGGTATAAAGTTAGGAAACTAAATATCAGCCTGGAAGTTGCTTTAAGTTTTCTAAAGGAGTTTAGCATAAGTAAGTAAAAGTTAACCAAGAATTTAATTTATCTGTAAATCCTCCACGTTTCATGTTCATCCTTCACCTGGACATCTGAAATTCAGCTTCCTGCCAAATCTTAAAACTAGACATAATGAAAGGTGGTTTCCTTAGAGGAGAATCTGCTGTAAAAATGATGTAGCTATAAAAGTTGTCCAAGTGCATAGTAGAACAGCAAGACAACAGTCAAATAACAAAAAAAAATTCATGTTGAAATTAAATAAAATAAAGTAAAATGAATAAATTCTTACATAATAAATTTCTAAACATTAGCTGAAAATTAAAACGAACTGAATTTTCTTGTGTTTTATTTATAGAAGTGTTAACTATTCTTTTGTATTTTTAGCCTGCCATGATCTACCCCCTGACTCGCCCTCTTTGTCTCACCCCCACTTACCCCTCCCACCCCTGCTAATTTTGCAGCTGACATGAAAAATGAGTATATCATAAATAGCATGTTATAGAGCTTCATTCCTATACACACACACACATGCACTTACACACTCAACATGACCATAACGTGTCAATGACATAATTGTGTAAGTTTAACAAATATTGAAGTGACTTTTTGAATTTTGGAGCAAAAAACTAAATGTGGTCCAAATGGGCAAAAGTACATAAAAAATAGCAAAGAAATATCTAACAAGGTAAACAACAGGAGCCTCAGATGATGACAGTTTTTTTTCTGTAACAGTTGGCTGAGGTGAAAGGTAGGATTACTAAGAAGAAGATTCATTATATTAAACCTGGAAAACTGGCTTAACTTTTAATTTGATTCTTAAGTTAGATAGAGGTGACGTACTGTATTATTTCCAAGCAAATTTTCTGATTGTGTGTTTTGACCGTTACACTCACTGTTCATCCGCTCTGCTGCTGGTGCTCCTATCAAAGACACCTCTATTTTTCCTCACTGTGATTTGTTTAGGCGGGCGTGTTGAAAGTTGTCACATATTTTGTTTTTTAACATTTACTAAAATCAGTCCCTGAGGCAGTTGAAGAACAAGATAAAACAGGAGTCTGCATTGCTTTCCTGTAAAAAAAGTTGAAACTCAGGATTCACAGGATCGGGGTCAATCAATTCATAAAAATATATACCAGGAATTTATCCAGTCCAAATAATAAGTTAGCCAATGAGATGTAAATGTTTCAGGAAGTCGCAGTACGTTAGCCAAGGCTACGGTATAGGTTTAACTCAGGAGAACAACCATCACAGCAGCTTTCACCTGTTGTTTCTTCTTTCTCTTCACAGTGGTGCCATGCTGCTTGAAGTCTGTGAATGATAAGACATGTCTTCAGACCGCCACTCCAGAGATGATCAGGTGGAGAGGGGGTCCATCCCCCTGGACATTGACAACGTCCACATTCTCCTACAGGGTCAGTCCTAACAGAATCAGAATCAGAAGGAAAATTGTTTTCTGTTACAGCTGCTCCTGCAAGAGCAAAAGTAGTCTAATATATATATATATATATAAGTATAAGAAATAATTTATTTTTTAAAATAAAAATAATAAGAAAGGCTAAAATACAATTCAAATACAAGTATATAGAGTGCAACATGTTTAATGTGATTGCCTAAAGTTTTCCACAGATTAAATTTGCATAATGAAGCACAATAATCAGTAACCATATCTAAGTTATTGAGTATTGTAACATTTTGTACAGATTAAAGTATTGTGAACATTACTTTACATAATGACCAAGACAGAAATCCCAGAGCAAAGAGATTGAATGTGTCTGTATGTATGTGCGTGCGTGTTTGGTAAAAACACAACCACATCATAATGTTTGTCTAAAACTCAGCTGAGTGACATTTTATGAGATTTACACCCAAAGTCCTTACATAACGACTTGATTTCACACCACTGCAGGAGTCGTTCACCCACACCTGCATCTCTCACTCAACTCAGATGTCTTATTGTTTTTCAAAAATTATGTCAAAGAAACAACCTGACCACAGGAGGCAGCAGTGAACCAGCAGCTCTTACATTCCTGACAGCTAAAATCCATGGTTTTCTCAGTGGACTTTGCTGTAGTTAAAAAACCATCGTTGCCTTTTAATCAGTGAACAAAAACACTTATAACTGACTAATTTCTTTATCTTAACTATGACCTCAACCTGCCGAGTTTTATCGCTCTGCTCTGTATAGGTATTTGGACTGGAGACAGCTCCAAATATGGTCATAGTACAGTTGGTTTGGGTGAAGTGTGTCTGAGGTAAGACTTGTTACTAAAACAACAGAACAAACATGTGGCTGCTGGGTTTGTGGCATGGACCGTTTGAGAGACATATTCCTGCATTGACTTTGACGTGGACCTCTCTTTAACATCCCCTGTTCCTGATCTCCTGTCTGCTCTCTCCACTCACCTCCTCTGCTCCTTCATGGTTCATCTTGTTTTCCTTATTTCTTCCTTCTCCTCAGCTGTATTTTTAGTACACGGCGTCTCTGCCCTTTTTAAGAACAAACAGCCTTTTCTTCAGAGCCTGTAAACTTTTTTTCTCTTAATTATATAATTTCCAGCCAAAACAATTTGCCAAAATCATGATGTCAGACAAACGCCCCCTGAAACAAGCCAGCCTGTTAAGGAACACTTTGGTTTTCTAAGGCAGTAGTGATAAACTTTGAGTGCTTACAGTGTGTTGTGTAAAAAAAAAAAAGGACAGACAACATCATTCTTGGGAGTTGTGATCTAAGAGTCATCAATCTTCATTCAAATAAATGGTTTGCTGTAAAAGTTTTGTATTTATGTATATGTTTTTTATTGACAATTTGTGGGCTTACCTTACCTTACCTTACCTTACCTTACCTTACCTTACCTTACCTCGGGCTCACAAGACAACATTATGTTGCTGTATTTTTTTGGAGATCTGTTCATTTTAGAAACTGTGGAGTATACCTACAGTGTGTAGAACTACACACACTGTACTATTGTCTTCGTTTAATTGGTTGAAATGTTTTGACTGTTGATGATTTCCATTTGCTGGTAAAAACGGCTCTTTTGGTTGCAGACTATTTTATTTTTGTTCACCCAACTTTTACTTGGGCGGTGGTGGATTGGTGGTTAAGGAAGCGGCCTTAGGTTCAGAAGGTTTCAGGTTTGAGTCCACCAGCTACCAAGTTACCACTGAGCTGTTCTGAGTATGGCACTGTCCCCACACGCTGCTCCCTGGGTGCAGAGGCCACATTAGGTTGTGTGCAGTGTTACGATGACAAGGAGTTCACTTTCCTTTTATCTTGTTTTTATTTTATCTTTCCCATCATCCACTACAATGTTTTTTATTCTAGTTTTACTTTAGTCATTAAATCTGTAAAAATCCTTTGGCCATTTGTTAGCTCTTACTTGACCAGCGTTAAGATGTCTCATCTGTAATTTTCCAACACAATTGTTTAAGCATTAGGCATCACATTTTACAGTCAAGTTTGAATAAACTAATTAATTTTCAAACTTTAAAGACAAACCAAACGTTTAAGGATTGTTTTGCTGTAAGCTTCTTGTTATTTCTGATGACACTGCTTCTAAAAATGTGTATGATGCAGAGTATCAAGTAGTCAGGAGCATTTCTCCAGAAAGTTGTGTTAATCACATGGATGGGGTCTCAGGTATTGACTTCAGCTGCAGTCATTAGCAGCAGGCTAATGATCTTGTGTGGACAAGTCTGAGGCATCTCTGAGTCAGACTGAATGAAGAGGTGGAGCTTAGACCCAAATCACCTGCATCATCATCACACTGTGAACTCACAGACAACTAGAGAGGAAACGATCATCAAACTATTCTGTCAAACATTTACTTTAATTTAATCACTGCTGCTGCTGCTCACGAGAGCCACTGCAGACAAACATGTTGATTAGCAAAATAGATGTAAACTGATCAGCAACACTGCACTGTCTGCAGATATAACATGGATGATTCCACAATGGGTGAGTTCCATTTCCATTGTAATTTTTAACTTTCAGAAACAGCCTTTGGGACAACTATAATATTTGTTCGCAAAGTTGTAGTTACTGTTTTATAACTTTTTCCTAAGCTTTATTTTCTCAGTCTTTCTCAGTGTTTGTGTCACACCTCAGTTTAGTTTTTGGTTAGCATCTCTGTGTTGTTTTGGGTTTCTTTTCTTTTGTTTTGCCTTTTTAAAGCTTTACTGGTTTCTGTGTCACATTGAGTTTCCTTTTAGCTACTTCTTAGTTAATATCAGATCAGAGGTCATTTGAATGTTTCCTTATATTTGTGAAACCTTTTGCAATCTTCTGGCCTGATTTTGACACGTTACTTTACAATTTTGAGATTTGATTTTCTTGATTATTGACCACCTTCAGTCTTCTTTCCTCTAATGTAATTTACAATAGTTATGTTTTACTTCTGGCAAATCCTGGAACTACTGAAAGTTGTTCTTGGTATTCTCTTGGCAAACTCTATTCCCTTGGTCATTTCTTGACTTACTTTGAGCTACCAACCTTACCAATTTTCTGTCTTAACTTTAGGTTGTTGGTGGACTATTGGCTCAGAGTCTCAGGTAATCTAATCTGTGACCACCATTTTCTCCATCCTTACATGGTTAAATTGTTAAAGTTCCTCCGTGTGTTAACATTCCTAGGAAATTATCTGAACCGATGCCTTCTGTGATGATAGTTTATAAACTGTTTTTTCTTGGTTATAATCAACCGAAGATAGACATTTTAATTTCAGTTTTCTTGTGTTGAAGATTCCTGACCTACTAATGAGACCAAGAAAGGTTTTTCCTTTCCCACAGCTACTTACCTTTGTTTAAATATATCAGAAGCACTTTATAACACACCAGGGTTGTTGCTCCCTGTGATTAAGATTAGACTCCAATTGAACTGAAGCCAGAGTTTGCATGTGGTTAAACTTTTCAAGTCAGAAAATAGTCTGTGAGCTGACTGTTGGAGCTCAGCATTTAGAACACACACTTCCAGCTGTAAACAGTGATATTCTGCTGAGTCAGTTTGTCAAACACCAAGATCTGATGAGATGAGACACAGACTACAGATGTGTGACTTTCATTTGTTTGTGTCTGTGTGCCTAAGTACAAAGATGTGAACAGTGAGGACAACAACATTGGAAACAGAACTCGCAGTTATTGGTTGAATAGGGAAACCAGGCTAAAAAGCAATGTTGATGGTGTAATAGTCCCTGGAGGGAAGAGAACTTAAGGAAGCTGATATATATTAAGACAGAATGAGAAGGAAAGATGAGGAAGGAGCAGGAGATTAGTTAGGTGTTAGTGAGGGAAACAATGGAAAGGATGAAAGTGAAGGTTAAAGGAGGTTGTGCTTGATGCCTTAAATGTAAAGTGACACTGGTCATTTATTTGTAATTGTTGGACTTTGACATTGTCTACAATTAGAGAAGACCTTTGCATCTCTGTTATTTGTTGCCTCATTCTTGTTCATCACTCATTCAGGCACTTGAATGCGACGTCTTTCCGATGTTCTGATGTTCCTATCCTCCATGTTTGTCTCCACCAGTGCAGGACTCCAGGGTGTGACCTGCTGCAGCAGCGGCTCTACTTCTGCTGAGCTGCTCTGTGTTTTCTGCGACTCTCCTCGCGAATCTTACGGAGACTTGTTCAGACAACATGCCGTTTGTCAATAAATGGCCGCCACAGGCCAAACCCTCAGCTCTTAGCTACAGTAACGACTGCAGTGCTTTAGAGGCAGAGTTATTAGGGGTGTGACCACCTGCTTCATTTCACAATTTCTGTATTAATGCTGTTTGACTGTTTACAGGAATGACACCAAGCCAGCAAAAAATGGACTTAAATAATAGGTTTGATGATCCTTTGATTATCATAATCTCAATAAATAAATGTGGCCCCAGGCGAGACACTTCAGAAAACCTGTGACTCAGATCTGTCTGACCTTGTGTTGTGTTTTTGAACCTGGTTAGCTGCTCATAAACCTCAGCCCCATACACTCAGTCACATGACTGACAAAATAAAGGGCTGTGTGATGAATGTCTACAGTGTAAACTACTGTAAAACAACAGTATGAAATGACTGATCAATAATATTAAACGATGGTGGAGAAAGGGTCTGAGAAGACAGAAGCTACAGTTACTCTCTTCCTTTCAAACACCAGTCTTTTTTCACTCCCAACCAAGGCACATACAAACTCTCCTTCCCTTCTTGATTATGTCTTTGTGTGTTTTACAGTTTTTACAGCTACTGTTAATAAAGTATTATTTAAAAAAATAATCTAAATCTAATTTTCTCCTTGTTTATCTCAACAGTGGAACAGGAGCAGATCCAAAAGAGGACTTTCACTAACTGGGTTAATGCTCAACTGACTAAGGTGAGTGTTGGCTCTGACCTTTTGACCTCTCATATAAAGTTTATTTATACTAGTTCAAATGCTTGGTTAATGCAGGGATTTAAACTAATGTAAAAAGATGACAAATTATTTTAGCTTAGTCACATGAGCACACTGACTTTACAAACAAACCATCAACCCTCTACTGTCACACAGCTTTATGTTTTTACAGCCTATGTAAATATATACTGGAGTCTATTGAATATCAGTCAGTTACTTGGCTGGTTTGTGCTGCTAAATGAGATAGGGAGAATAAATCTGTTTAATAGTAATTAATGCAGAAGCAAGGTGAAGTTTCACTAATAAATAAAGAAAGCAGATTCAGGAACATATGGAGGTGTAAGAGCCAGAATAACAGCTGTGTTTGCACAAATGATCTCTTCCATTACCTTGTAATGTTTGAATCAGTTACTGACTCATCTGTCCTGCTGTAACGTGTTCCGTCAGTCATCAGATGAACAAAAACAATGCAGGTTTACTCTGGTAAAATACAGATGCCAATTGGAATTGAAGGAAAACAAATGTAAAATTATTCGGTTAGAATAACAGTTTTGTAGGTGTTACAGTGTTTGGATAGACAGAGGTAACAGTAGTTTTAACCACACTGAATGCTTGGGAACCTTCAGGGAGTTAAATACACAGTTAATATCCAGTATAAATCAGTGGTTCTCAAATGTTTATGGTCATTTCCCACTTTGATAAAGCCCCACCTAACTCACCATTACCCCACAAATATCTTGACAAATTGCATTCCAAATGTATTGAACTAACACCAAGTACGGTCGTATTTTATAATTAATCAATTTACTAACTATATATTACACAAAGTTCCAAGAGAAAAATTAAAGTGCAGTTGTTCCATCATCGCTTAAACTAGGGATGCACCGATCCACATTTTTTCACATCCGATCCTATCCCTATATTTTTTGGATTTCGATATCGGCCGATACCGATACGTTCTGATACTATTGCTTTAATATTATTATTATATGCATGTATTTGCAAAGTAAACATCTTACAACAATGTGTGCATCTGTCCTCATTTGATTTATTGCTGGCTACATTGACAGTCAATCAATATGTAGCTCAGCAGGACATGACTTTTTTTTAGTTAGAAAACATTCATAATTGGAGCATTAATGAAAAAGGGCCCTCGCCCGTCCTTCCGTATCGCGTCCAGGACAAGCGTACTGCTGCTCTCCTCAGCCATGTATTTCTTTGCAGCCTGTTATCTGGCTGCAAAATGTGTTCTTGTTGAGCCACATTCTGTTCAGGAAAGTGATTCTACAGTTTACAGTCATCCAACTGTCTGATTTCTGACATGGTTCGTGGATCGGAATTCTTTGCAGGTTGGATTGGATCGGTCCGATCTGCTAATTATGTTGGGATCGGCTGCCGATACCGATACTGGATTGGATTAGCCCAATCGCTAGCTTGAACCTTGAAAATTCCTTCCTTCAGTTTCTCACACCCCGCTCGTCATGTCTCCGATCCCTCCACCAGTACGGGCCCACCCCACACTCATATACGTCAATACCCCATAAATCATAGAAGAAAACAGTTAGACGTTACTTTTTTTAAAATGTGAAACAGAACTATTTCACCTCATTTAACCCATCGGTGAACATGTTGCTCAACAGCCTGTGTGATTCCTGGCCCTGTTGTGTATTCTTTAGAAATAAGAGAGCGTATGAAACACACAAATCCATCTGACATGTTCAAGCACAACTGCCTTTAAAGTTGTGGTTCATTTACACATGTGCTGACGTCACACAGCTCTCCTCAAAGACCTTTTGGAAATCACATGAAATCTTAGAGGAGCTGTGACTCTTCATGAGCGTTAAATTAAAGCTGTTCATTAAATCTGCAGTGTTTTTTGTTTACATGTCAAGAGTGTTTTCTCAGTGAACAGCAGACCCTTTTTCAGCTCCACACCACATGGCCTGAATCTGGCAAAAACAAGTTTGTTGCCAAACCTGAGGATCAGTGATACCTGGGCTTCTGTCAGCGTCCTGTTAGAGGACAGTGGACGCGTTGGTGGGAAAGTGTGGACATAAATATAGCAGTGCAGATCAAGGCTCACAGCAGGCAGACTGACAGCAACAGACGGCCACTGCCTTTCTCCAGAACAGCCAACACACCCCCTCATTCCCTCAATCTCCACCCACAAACATTCACCCGGAGCTAGAGTCAGTGTGAACTGAACAGGATTGTGGACATAACTGTTAATCCTTCTCGTTGTCTGCTCATATTAGAGCTCACGTGTTTTATCTGTCACATAAAAATATTTGTCTCTTGCTCACCAGACAGAAACATCTGAAATTGAAAAACAGTTTTGTCATTAATTAACACTGACATTTTTTATATTCAGTGGGGAATTACAGAATATATGTATACATATATTCTTATATATACATACACATGACTAAAATAATAGCATAATAATAACATTTTATTTGTGTGTGTTTTTTACAGAAGCGGCCTCCATGTGCAGTTGTGGATCTCTTCAATGACTTTCGCGATGGCTCCAAACTGTTGGACCTCCTGGAGGTGATGAGCGGCCATCGCATTGTGAGTCCTTCATCTCACCCCCAGCTGAGACTTTTATCAAACCTCAGAGCATTTGACATTATCTTTAAATGATTTATTATTCATTATTTTCCAGAGTCGGGAGAGGGGAAGAGGAATGTTTCAGCACAGGAGCAACATCGAGAAAGCTCTGTCCTTCCTGAAGAATAAATCGGTGAATTAAAGAAAATCACATTTTTGTGTCCCAACTCAGAGAAACTGACATGTTTAGCAAAATGTTAAAATATTAGCTCCACATTTGCGCCAATAGTCAAATACTCAGTCACTAAATCAAAACCATCTTTGTGAATAATATATGGATTTTTTTCACAAAGATTATTCATCTTTGTGAATAATATATGGATTTTTACTCCTCCTTCTGGACAACGGTTCTAAGACTATCCTTTCCATTCTCACCTCAGATTAAACTGGTCAACATCAACATTCCTGACATCATTGATGGAAAACCTTCCATCATCCTAGGCCTCATATGGACGATTATTTTGCAGTATCATGTGGGTATCATGTTTACTTTTTACTGTCTTTTTCTTTTTTTACTTTTTAAGTCTCATCACTTATTTATATCTCATAGTTCTCATTTCTATATCAAAAAGCTTTCTTTTCAAGCTTTGGTCTGTCTGCAGACATCAGTGATCCACAGATTTTCTGCAGCAGCTCCTTCCCTGATTCTTACTTTGGTCCATTTGTAAAATGTCAATCCTGTGTGTTTGTGTGTTTTTCTCAGATTGAGGAGTTGGCCAGTAGCCTGACGTTTGACTCCCGTCAGTCCTCCATGGAGTCTTTGGCCAGTCTGGACTCTCGCTCCACTCTGTCCAGCCGCTCGGCCAGCAGTAGCCCAGCCCCCCGTAGGGGTTCACCGCTACACGCCCGCTTCAGGATCTCAGCCAAGAAAGCTCTGCTGCTCTGGGTCCGAGAGCAGTGTCACAGGTTGGAGTTAATTCTGCTGGAAACATGAAGTGAAAGGTTCTTTTAACAATTTTAACTGCCATGTTCCACTGCTGAAGCCAGAAAACCTAAAAGGGGAATTTGATTTTTGCCAACTCACTGTAGAGTGTTTGGTTTCCTATTTTCCGAACATAAATCGTACTGATTTTTCTCACTTTACTCTACATTTTTCCATCTCCACCCTCTCTCGTTATTGGTTCTGAGAGGATCTCAGAGGGAAACACCTCCTGTTGGAGAACCACCCATTACAGTAGCTTTTCTATAAAAGCTTTAGAACCTGGAACTGATACCACTCTGCCAAATATGACCCAATAAACATGATGTCATTCTTCTGGGAATCCTGCTCTCATTCCCAGATTGAGTAAATAAGACTCTTTTGTTTCTGTTCAGCAAAACAGTTTACAAAACACACTTGCACTTGCATTTATTTTATTTATTTAAAAGTCAATTTTTGTCGTTCTATACTTACACATTTTTTCTAATTTAACCTTATTAATTTTTCTTCCAAAGTATACATGTCCCACCATTTAATTTTTTTTATCATAGGAATATTGTTTTATTGTTAATTTCATTTGATCATTAGGAATGGGATTAAGACTTTTAAATACTCAATTTCTGCCATATATATTGACTTATTTGACTAATTTATTCACATGTTACATGTTAAATTAATCTTCATATCATCAAAATTTCACAAATGCAACTGTCATCTTGATCACAAAGAAGATAAAAGATAATAGAAGTTAAGTTACTTTTAACTTTTCAACATGGTCTATGGCTTTTTTCTTCCCTACAAGTGTGTTTTTATGTTATAATCTGTTTGATCGTGTACTAATTTGACATTTAGAATTAGAACACAGCATCTTTGTAACTAAAGCCTGAAACGTGATTCATGGACATTGACTTTGTTCTTCAGATCTGGCTGTTCCATCAACGTGAAAGACTTCAAAGCCAGCTGGAGGAGCGGAGTGATCTTCCTGGCCATTCTTCAGTCCTTGAGACCAGACCTGGTGGATCTGAGCAGAGCCAGTACCAGGAGCAACAGACAGAACCTGGAGGAGGCATTTCGCATTGCAGAGAAAGAGCTGAGGATTCCTCGACTCCTGGAACCAGACGGTCAGTCGTTCGCTGTAGAATATGTAACTGTCACCTTGAAACCAAGATACAGAAGCTGACACAGTCAATGCTTTCGGACTTGGCTTTTTGACAAAATTATCATTATTATCATTGTTGTGCGTATTAAGTACAGTGTGTGAGAGTGGTACTTGTCACTCTGTGGTTACTTTTGTGGAGTCATGACTGAAGGATCACACCTGTGGTTATCGAGGAGTGTCACTAAATTGATTTAGGTGAATAATAAGGACTTAAAGTGCAGCACTGCCTTTGGGCAGGTTCACGTCTGCACTGTGGGAACACTTATATCAAAACAAAACAAAACAAACATAGATGTTGATGTGAACTAGAGGAAAGGAGAATTGTTACGCCCTCCACTCAGAGCTAAGTAACAAAACTTAATTTATTTTTCCATCATATCTAGTTCTGTTACTGCTATGGAAGCTAAACAGTTACACTTGATTGACTAATTAATTTAAGACAAACAAACAAACAAAACTAAATGTCAATCCTAAAACTGAGATCATTTTAAAATCTATTATATGTTTTAAAAACATTTACTTTTTAAAATAGACCAGAAGATTATTTAAGAAAAAGTAAAAAAAAAGATCAACTAGAACCTAGCCTACAATATAGCTTCCAAGAATAGCCAAAAGAATTACAAAAGACAAATTTGTCTCATAAATTCGCAAGGTAATAGTCAGATATAAATTTTATATAATTAAGGTATAATTGGTGGCCATGATCATTCTGTACAAGTGTAGTGATTGGTCCCTAGGCCATATGATAAACACACCTGATGTAACTCTGTAGAGATAAAGGATTCATTTAGGTGTCGTTCAAGCAGCAGAAACACAACTGGTCTCTTTGTACTGTCATTATATATTTATTTTATTCAGTTTTATAAGAGTCCTATCAGAACCACAGCAGTGAAGGAGGTGGTGTCCTGCGAACGTTTGTTACTGAGACATTTCTGAGCTATGTGTTTAAGCCGTGCCCAAAAAGCCTGAGGGTGAGAGAGCTGAGGATCTGACAGTCTGCTGACTCTCCCTCTCTCTCTCCTGCTCTCTCTCCCTCCCGCCCTCTCTCTGTGCTGCATATAAAAACTCTGTGTTGTTTGATTCAGCTGACTCTGACTCTGACTAGTTAGCAGAGGTAAAAAGTCATTGGTTGATGAGAGGGCAGAGGAGACACACCTCCATTTCTCAGGAGCTGGCTCTATCTGCGTCTCTCAGTCAATACAGAGCTTATTCTGACAATAGTATGAAAAAGGAGTAAAAAAAAAAAAAAAAAAAAAAATTGACGGCTGATCATGGAGGACTCTGATGTGGATGCAGATGTGGACGTCAGGGACCCGGATGAGAAGTCCATCATGACCTACGTGGCTCAGTTCCTGCAGTACTCCAGAGATCTGCCACCGACAGAGGAGGAAATGCAGGTGTGTATTAACATCAGTGAGACACCTTGTGTTTGTCATCTGTGAAATCACAACGTTAAAATTTATTGGGCTGCAGGACCAGTGCTGCTCAAAAGATCTGATATCATAGAGAAGATATTTCACACAGCAGTATGCTGAGTGTTTGTTTATTTTCAGTTTAAAAGTCATCTGTGCAGATTGCAAAGAAAGCAGTTCATGAAATATGATGCAAATGACTTGATAAATAGTTAGATTTAAATATCCTGACATATTGTTTATATGTCTGTAATAGTCCCTTTAAATATGGCCGTCGCACCATAGCAGGTTTATTATAATATTTATTTCTAACATGCTTCTTTTGCCAATGTTAAATATTAGTATTTTTGACCAGTTCTTGGTGAACGGTTTTTAATGTTGGCTACATTTTGAGACACTATTTAGCTATTCAAGCAAACCAGTAGGTTTAATTACCCCTGTGCTACTGTTTAGTTTACAGTAATCATGATTCTTCAGTGGCATCTTGGCTAATTGCTTCATTTAATATTTAACTATACAGTAACAATATTATCTAATAGAGTTAAATTATTGGTAAATTGGTTGGTTAATTTTAGTGGTGTCTTTAATCATTTTAGTAATCTCTTATCTTTAGTTTTTTAATAGCTTTAAGTGGCTCTTTTTGTCAAACTCAATCTTATTTGTATAGTTCAAATTCACAAAATGCATTTTACTTGGATGGAAGAACCTATCTACTTTCTGCTTTTCCTTTTTCCTTCCTTCCATTTACCTTTCTTTTGTCTCCTTTTCCTTTCAATTTCCTTTTTTCTTTCTTTCTTTTGTCTTTCTCTCTTTCTTTCTTTCATCACAGATTGGACATGTAACTCCTCCAAAAAGTCCTTCACCTGTCAACCTGCCTCTTCACTACACTCCTGCTATATCTGCCTCACCTCTGAGACAGGTACCATTTCCTGTGAAACATTTTTTCTAATTTATACTTTTGTTTTCATTTACCCTAAGTCCCAACCTGACTGCAATTTTGGATTTTATGTCTTAATACACAGACGTTGCTTATCCATAGCTAGTTAGCAAGTTCACCTTCATCTGCACAGTGTTATTTAAATGCACTCACATACAATATTTTGTTGAGACTTGTCTCAGTGACATGAATTGGCCACAAGAGGCAGCAGTAGACCAGAAACTCCATGTTACCTTATGGAAGAAATTGTTAATGTTTACGTCTAATGTCTAAGACACTAAAATGTATAAAGCTGTAAATATATGTATAAAATAAAAGATTAAATGGATGTATAACAAATTAGGCAAATTCGTCCATCATGAAAAATCTAATTTCTCTGTCTTGTTGCCAGTGAGAACATGATTCATGGAGATTAAATGTGTGACTACCTTGTACAACCTTTCATTAGAATTTCCTGAACTTTCCCTTTAACTTGAGTGTGTGAACCTGCTGTATTTGTGTCAGTGCCCCACCCCCTTTCCTCTCTGCTTTTATTTATGTTGTAACATACCTGAGATGACACCCTGTACCTGCAGCTTGTTTGTAACAACCTCTGCTGAGGCACACATCATATATAAGCCACAGAAATATTTTGTCTTGATGGGGAAACAACTTTTCATTTCATACAATTAACAAATCTTGACGCTGTGCCAGGAAACTTTTGTCTGTTGAGTTGTCGCTGCAGCAACATCAAAGCAAAGAGTGCAGTCGCTTCAAGCAACAATTCTAAAATCACATGGTGGTTGACAGCAGGACTCATCATGCACAATTGAACTAGTTTACCCTGTTCTCTGGGAAACAGTCCAACAACCACACTGAGGGTGTGGCCCATGTTTGGCCACCTTTGTGGTGGATAGAGTCTAACAGAACACCACCGAATGTATCCTTCAGGTTTCCTTGACATGGAAATTGTCTTGGAAAATGATGGACAAAATACTTGTCATCTCAGCTTCCACAGAGGAAAGTTGATCTCACCCAGTGAGGCTCATGTTGTCATATATTTTGTCTGATATACAGCAATCAATCACAGTCTTCAGGTGGCCAGCAATGGATGTATGCAGAAGTAAAGAACATCTTGGTGAATCATGCACATAAACTAGCCTTGTTACATCTACATACACCTAATACACTTACGGTTGGTGTTCTGTGTGGGTTTAGAGGCAAAATTATATTATTTTCTTTAAACAAATGTTTTTAAAGTAAAGTATAATCAAGCATAGTGTCTGTACATGCTTCTGCATGAACCTTCTGCTGCCTCAGATACAAGCAGAGAAGGAGGAGGAGGAGAAGGAGTATGGGGAGGAAGAGGAGGAGGTAGAGAAGCAGAATAGAGCTCTCTGTTGTATGTGTTGTGAAAAACAACTGTGTTGCCAAAGCAAGCTAATGTGAGGGCTTGGTGCCCTGCTGCGCAGGAAAAATTTTGTGAAATTTTGTTTTTTTGGAGTGTGTTATGATTGCTGTTTGGGCCTGGTGGGAGTTTTTTATTGAATTTGGCATGGATTTGGGGTAAATTGGTCTACAGCTTAACAATATTAGTTTCAGTATTGATCACATAAAGAGAAATTAAAACTAATAATAACTTTTTTTGTTCAACATGAAAAAGCATGTACAAATGTCACAGGGTGTTTCCCAAACTTGAAAATGTTGACGTCTTTCAAAGTCTTGTTTTGTCCACAAACAAAAAGATCTAATTCAGTGTCAAAGCAGAAATGTCCCAAATTTACTGTGATTTTGGTTTGGTTCACTTTTTATCCATGTGAAAGAGTGATGTTCTTAACGCTTACATCTAACAAACATAGTATGTTGGAGTAAGTCTGCAGTTTTTTCTTTTCTTTTTTATAGGGAACATCTGCAACATCTAAATGTTTTGTATTTTCTTCACTGGCAGGCAACACCCGAACGTAAGGTACAGGAAGTGACATGCTGGCTGGCTCAGGCCTACGATGAACTGCTGGAGGGATGGGACTCCACAGAGGGGGAGAGTTACTCTGAGAGATACCATGTATGTTCACAACGCGTTCTATTAGAATTCCATAGGGTGTATGGCAGTTTGTCTTGACCTTTGTCCATGTACATGTCACCTCCTTAGGTTTTTCAGACATTTGTTGTATCCTTTAATGAGCAACGGCGACCCATCATGCCTCTGCTGACGGCGATGAGACGATCTGCAAAACTAAGTGATGAGCAAAAAGCTCTCAGAGAGGCATGGGACACACTCACTGAAAAGGTCTGTATTGTTTCGCAGAAAATCTGTATCAAATACTAGCCAACGGAGTTCAAACAGCATATTTCCAATAAATCACTCAAAAGTATACCAGCAGAATTTATTAGTTGACACCTAGTAAGTTGTTATTACTAAAGCAGCCACAGCTTCAGGTTGGTGCATTGGTAGATCACAATGTCACAAGCTGTTTTAAACTACAGGATTTCAATGTGTTCCCTTAAACATTAAAGACCACAATGTGCCTGAGGATAAACATCCAATAATAATACATAACGTTTGCAGAGATACATGACTGATCATATGATGAGTAGTCATTCACTTCTCTTCATCACTTCTTCATGTTTAAGGCCAACACAGTAATGTTGGTTAGAAAATACACTAAGTGTTTACATTTACGAGTCTAGCAGATGTTTTTATCCAAAGCGACTTACAGAGGAGGGTTAACGTTATCAAGCATGTGGTTCCACTGGGAATCGAACAGCAGGACTATCTGCTTCCGAGGCAGACGTGCTAACCGCTATGGAACCACTACTGTTTAGGAGAGAAATGACACCTGATTTTCACTCCACTTATTTCAGTTACGTGAATATAAAGTGGAACTGGACATGAGTCTCCCAGCCCCCTTTGATGCAGTGGCCCGTTGGCTAATGAAAGCAGAGAATGTGTTGACAGAAGAAGAAAGTGACCCACAGGACCATGCACGAGCTGCCGACGAAGCGAGAGAGAAACAAGAGCTGCTTAAGGTGAGTGAGTACTGTCATGATCAGAAAACAGCGGCATTGGGTTTAAATGCCCTTGGAAGTCTTAGGGTCAAAACATCTCCATAAAAGTAGTTTCACATTTGTCTGCCAGCGTGTTAAGAAGTCCTACAGATAGAATTTAGACAGCTTTCTTTTAGCTTTGCACAAGTAAAGAAAAACAGTTTTTGCAACATTTCCACTTCCATGTGTTTATCCACATCCCTGAGGTGTCCTCAAGGACCTAAGTCGTTCAAAACACACAACTGAACTGAACATCATCTCCTGTAAACAGCAGTCTTTAAAGTCGTTCAAAACACTGACATCATCTCCTGTAAACAGCAGTCTTTTTCTTTGTTTGTGCAAAGATAACCGTAGATTGTTTATGTAAATGATGTCACTGCTCGATTTCCCCTGCAGGTTTGCCTGGAGGAGATGCCACAGCAGCTCAAGACCTTCCAGTCCTTCCAGAACCTGGATGAGTACGGAAACATGATGGTTCCCACTGACAAGATTGATGAGTTGAAGAGGAGGTGAGGCTGTTTATTCCACATCACCTGTGTTCACGCTACAGATATAAATATTGAAAACTTTACTGAAGAATTGTTAATTTGTAAAAAATGATACTTGAAAGTAAGTTGGAAAATAATCTTCTATATGTGTAAGTCAAAAATATATCAGAAAATGAGAACCTGAATAACGAAAAAATTAAAAAACCCAAGAATGTATCTCAAAAAGTTAAACCAGATATAGACACATAAACAAACTACATGAAGCTGATTTTGTTACATTTGGCCTAAAGATTGTCTCCTTGTTTAATAAAGTTCTCCTGGAATTGTGTCAGTATTTTTCACCCTGCTGTGTAAAGAAGCTACTCTTTTAGATCCAGATCAACAAGTTAAACATTTTTAGGCATGTGACCAGGATGCCTCTAGGTTGCCTCCTGCTGGAGTTTTACCAGACACAATTCTCTGGGAAAAGACCTCAGGGCAGACTTTAAATTTGCTTAAGGGATGTTGTTTATTCTAGTTAATCTGGGAACACCTCAGAATCTCTGAGATGGATCCAAAAACTTTCTTGTGAAAAATACAATTAACAAGCTTGATTAAAATAGTTAATAAAAGTGTCAGTTAAATGACCTCAAACAAACAAAAACTTGATGAGTCATTGATAATAAAATGTTATAATGTTCTTTTTCAAGAACTTTGCAAACCTGCATATGTAACACTTATCTCATTTGGATCTACCCAGGTTTACGAGTGTGAGAGTGACTGCTAAGTACCATGGCATCAAGCTTGAGTACTGTGAGCAGCGACACACTGTTTTGGATCTGTTGGGTCAGATCAGGTCCAAGCTTCGGGTTTGGAAGAGGCCCTTCATTTCTCCAGAGGCTGTCAGGGTGTTGTTGCAAGAATGGCATGTAAGTCATTAACACGCCACTTAAGTTCCATTTTCTTATAGATGAGGGTAACCAATCTCATCTAACAAATTTAATCTCTTATGGACCCCAAAGTATGAAATGTCAAAACTCGTAAATGCACAAATGCATTTTTTTCTCTCCAGGAGCTGGTGACCACACAGGAGCTCACTTCTCTGTTAGAAATAGCACTCTATAAGCTAAAACAGATTTCGGAGAAATACTCCAGCAAATCTGCCCTTGGTAAGTGTCTCCAATCTCTTATCTGACTAATCTCTTAGTATCAGACAAAATAATGGAGTTTTTGCTTTGCTCTTTAGCTGGGGATTATCAGCATGTGAGTCAACAGGTGAAGCAGCTCGAGGAGGATACGGCAGTGGTTTTGAAGGACGTGACCACAGCTAAGAACACAATGAACAGGGTGCTGTCTGTTTGGGACACTTACAGCGACTGTCTCAGCTCCCTGCAGGCCTGGCTAGAGCAAAGCTCCGCCACTCCTGGAAATAGAGCAGAGGTAATTGTCAACGTTAAGAGAAAAAAAAAAGTCACAATAGAATATCTGTTTGTGTCCATAAATGGGCATTGATGGTAAAATAAATACTAGATGTGTAATAGGAGAGAGTATATTTGGAAATTATAGTTGTCAAACAGCCAAATGGTCTGTACTTGTACAGTGTAGTAGTTCTCTTATCATTATGACCACAAAGTAAGCGAAACTACTGATTTTATGCCAATTACCTTTTGGTACAAGTCAATTCAAAGCACTGAAAAACTGCAAAATAAATCTAACAAAAAATCTGAGACACCACTTATGTAGTTTAACCATAAATCACTAATAATTGTTAATGCCCTTCAAACGTACACTATATAAAACATATTCTATATAGAGTTATTTATAGTGACTTATACAATACAGTGAATTACCCACTAAAGAACCCAAAAATTATAGTGGCAGAAGTAAAAACAAACTCAGGCCCTAAAGCAGGGGTCTGCTATCTGTGGCCTGAGCCATATGCAATTCTTATCATTTGTATCCTACACGCATCAATTATTTATGGCTTTTTACAGGTGACATCTGAATCTCTGGCAGAGTGGGGCTCACGACAAGCCCAACTGAACGAGGTGGGAAACTTCCTGATTGAGAGAACTAACCCTCAGACCAGCAGGGTCCTTTCAGAGGAGATCCGTCGGGTCAACATGCATTGGGCTGAATTTGTCCACAAAAACACTTTTGTAAGTTATTCTTAATAAGCAGTCAGTGGTTTTAAATCAGCAACATCTCAGCTGTTGCTGCTGCTTTACCTCAACTATTTCTTGTCATTGGCCAAATTCCTTTTGTGTTTACGTAATTATAAGTGACGACTAACAGCAGGCATTTGGATCAAATGTCTCATGCCTTTGGAATTTAATGAATTATTCTTCATTTGTTATATTTAACCCTGGTGTCTGAAAATAAGGAGTGTCTGAATGTATGAAGGTGCAGTCCACCTTTTATTCTTTGGATCGCAATGATAATCTTCAGTACAAACCATTACTGATGTTTTAGACAACACCCCAGTCTCTGTCATCATACAGCCAACATTGATTCAAGTGATAAAGATTAAAACAACGCCAGGTTGGATTCATCAGTAATATTCAGAGCAAGTCAC